CAGGAACCAATTCCAGGAAAAGAGAACCCCCTGAAAATCCACCTGAAAGTAAGACATCAACCAGTTTCCCAGGTCACATAGCGGCGAGCAGGGAAGACTTTTACAGGCTTCATATTTACAGAACATGTCAAACTTTTCGTGTAGATCTTCTGCATTAGTGGGGCTGAAGATCAGACAGCAGTTTTTCATCTTTGTCTGTACAATACAAGCTACTGGAAATCAGCTGCTGGTCTCTATCAAAACATAGTGTGGAAAGAGACCTGGAGTAAGCATTACTGCTCGGTTGAGTCCAAAACCAAGGAGGGGGTGCTAACAACACTGAAAGTGACTGGCTGTTTGTTTACACGTGTCCAACTGACTGCTGCATAGATAAATAACAGCCTCACTCTGCCATTGGCTGTGTGAGAGGACTGTCAAACTTAGATGCTGAGCGCTCTGCTGGCCCAGGGGGGCTAGGCCTTTTATGACCGTAATGATCCAGCACCCTCTAGTGGACAGACTGTGCAGAGCACTTTAGTATTTAAATGCAGAGTGGTGTATAAAACAATAATAATAACTTTGCTTCACTCTTCACAGGATAAGAACCACAGAGTCCTTCACAATAACATTAACAACACAATGGATCATACAGCACAACTCTAATTGTGCCAGTCTAAATAAATAAGTCATAAATACAATCAAGGCAACACTACGATGGAGGTAAAGCTTTCCATAACCCGGGGGCCTCCGCTCTAACTGATCCACCTCCTCTGGTCTTAAAACGTGTCGGTGGGGCTGATCTCAGGCTGTGAGAGGGAGCGTGGGGTTGTAAAAGATCAGAGATGTAGGCAGGAGCGTCACCACTCACAGCTTTAAAGTCAGTACTAAGAATTTGAAATTAATTCTAAAACGTACTGGGAGCCAGTGTAATGAGAGTAAAACCAATGCTGTCTTCGTGTCTTTGTTAAGAGGCTTGCAGCAGCCTTCTGGACCGACTGGAGACGGTTACGATTCTTTTTGCTCAAACAAAGAAAAAGACTTTAACAACAATCTAAGAGAGATGAAATAAAAGCATTTCTAACTCAGATTTAGACAACAAGGTTCACAGTTTGGAGATGTTTCTTAGCTGAAGAAGGCTGTTCCTAATTAACTGTCCAGAGTGTTGCTCTAGGGACATGGCAGAATCCAAAATAACACCGATGTACCCGAGGCTCGGCTGGAGCCAAGAGGACCAAGATATAAACACAAAGAGAGTGAAAAAGGTGACTGAGTGCATCATGGGAATCCCCCACAGCCTAGAGTCAGTCTCCCGAATCCAAACTGGAAGCCGGTTCCACAGAAAAGCGGTACTGTGATGGTACTGGTGGTGACAGCATGCAGGAAGTTGCACACCTGCTGGATCTCTCTGGTTAACACCCTTCTTCCTGTTTGATGCTCAGGTCCAAGTGCTTGTTGGGATCACTGGAGTTCTGGTTTGCTGCTCGTTGTCAAACTGAATAAACGTCTCCACCATGACCTGTTGCTGAATGCTGATACTGAACCCTCTTAATTCTGAGTTCAGCATCATTTTTTTAACTTTCTTTGATCTGTCTGTGTCTCTCAGGCCGTCACTTCTGCTCAGAAGCACTATAACAACGAGCACATCTACCCCTACATGTACCTGGCTGGCTTCCACTACAGGCACAGGAGTGTGCGGGAGGCCCTGAGGTCCTGGGCTGAGGCCGCCCAGGTCATGCAGGAGTAAGTTCACACTAATGAGACTCCTGATCCAGGAAGCGTCCAGTATCTCTGCATCCTCACAGCTCCTCCCCCGGCGTGCTGATGATTCTGAATGAAGTGTTTGGATAAAGTGACAAATAGAAGAAAACAAAATTATATTGATCTCACTTTTAAGTAGTGTTATTCAGACACTAGACACCTTTTTCTTCTTTTAGCTGGTCCCAGATGACATTTGTACGTGAATGCTATTTCAGCAGATGAACACAAGATGGCACTAAACCAGCAGCTGTGTTTCCTGCCCTTGTGGTTCTTTGTTGCTTCGTTATGAACCCAGCCACCACTAAGGGCTCAGTCACACTTGGCCTGGAAAGGTGTGGTGCTCAGTCCAGGAAGTATCCAGCTCTGCATCCTCATGTGCTCTCCTCCCTCTAAACACTGTTCATGATCTGCAGTTATAAATAGCAGCTCTGACCCACCACACACATTCTCTCCACATCCATCAGCTTCCGTTTCCTGCTCCCCATTGTTCTTCAGGTTCAGCCCACGCTCTGCTGCCTCACAGAGAAATATGTGCCCGTGCTTTGTTTTGTTTTCTGAACCTGTCCACTTGTTCCTCACTTGTTGTCATGTCTGCCACATGTCACAGCATCCTGTTTTTACTCTTATATTTTTTTCTGGACTTCATGCTGTGACAGGAGAAAAGCGCATGTATGTATTAAAGCTCCTTCTCCACCTTCCTGCAGCTATAACTATTTCCGCGAGGATGAGGAGATCTACAAGGAGTTCTTTGACATTGCAAATGATGTCATCCCTACCTTGCTGAAGGAAACGGCGACAGCAGCAGAAAGTCCTGGGGAGGGAGGAGAGGAGACAGAAGGAGGGGACGAGGTGAATGTTTCTCCAGAGTACATACACCCACAGACAGTAGGTGGAGCAGGGCTCCACTAGCAGCTGTTCTGTAATAATGCAAAGCTCTAATTCTCTCTTCAGTAACAATCACACTACCACCTCAACCCAACAGAACATGTTCTTTCTCTTGCTCCTTATCAGATGACTTCCAAATCCAGCTTCTCTCTGATTAAGCATGTGGAACATGTAGAAACTCGTGAACATTAACAGACACCAACAGAGCGCACCTCCACCTGAGTTTAGATCATGTTGTTAGATGCACATCATGAATATTACTCACTGACAGATGTGGCCTCAGTCTTGCACCTCTGCTCTCTTGCAGGATCAGCCCAAGCAGGCAGCGGCTGTCTCTGCACTGCAGGACCCCGAGTGCTTTGCCCATCTGCTGCGTTTTTATGACGGCATCTGCAAGTGGGAGGAGGGGAGTCCCACGCCGGTCCTTCATGTGGGCTGGGCCACATACCTTGTCCAGTCTCTGAGTCGCTTTGATGCCCAGGTGAGTTGCCCGTGACTGCAGGAGAGCCACAGACGTGTTAGCGCTTTCTAGCTAAACACACATTTGTGCTCCGATTCCAAAGGTGCGTCAGAAAGTAACAATCATCACCAAAGAGCCAGATCCCCAGGACGACGACGACCAGTCGAGCGAGGACTTCAGGGAAGGGCGCAGGCGTGGCCCCAGGAGGGAGTCCAAGCTGGAGGACCAGAGCTCTCCTCCTTCTGCCGCTCCTACCTCCCCGTGCAGCCAGCCGGCTGCAGTGGCAGCTCAGCCCAAGAAGGTGGGAGAAGGAGGGCTCCGCCGGCGCTCCTCCCAGGGACTACGTGCTGGAGACATTGAAGGAAAACCCAAGTCCCCCAGTCTCCCAGACTCCGCATCTTCTCCTTTCTCCCCGGAGCAGGCCCCCCTCTCGCCAGCTGGCACTGTAATCGCCTTTCAGAGTGAGAAGATGAAGGGGATGAAGGAGCTCCTGTGCGCTGCCAAGGTGAACTCCAGCGCCATCAAGCTGCAGCTCACCGCACAGTCACAGGTCCAGATGAAGAGGCAGAAGAGCACTCCGGCGGGAGATTACTCCATGTCATTCCTGAAGCGCCAGCGTAAGTCACTGTAGACATCCTGATTGTTGCAGGAAGAGACTGTAGGACATACTGTGAACAGAGACGGGGACACCGATTAACCTCGATCCTGCTTGTCAACGTTTTTACCAGTGTTTTCACCCAGAGGGCCCTCTCAGTCAATATCCTAGTTCGAGCAATATGTCTGACATGCACAGATGATCTTGAGTTAAGCGTCACTTATCAGGTTGGAACATTTAATTGAGTTTTTATTTAAGAAATGGTTTCTGGAGACGTGCCTGGTTTGATCGTCAGTTTGCGTTTTGATTGGCAGCCTGTTAGGTATCCGTTACATGCTGTCTGGATGTTTAAAGCCAAAGTGATGAGGACCAGAACATGATTTTCAGACGTGTAAAATACCAACATGAACTAACCTGTTCATGACTGAAGCCTCAGAAGTGTTTAAATTTAGGATAGTTACTGTGTAACATTGTCCACTCTGCTCTACTGACAGCTTCTTTCTTATCAGCTCTATGTTGCCTTACTTTGCCTGTCTTCTTTTTTTAAAGTAGGTGGCCTTTAGTTTTGAGAATAGCTGAGTTAGACGGATTTCTAACAATGAGAAGAGAGCAGTAAGACCATGCACTGTTGAGACAGAGCCACATTAGATGGCACTGCTCCATCCAATTTGATTGACTCGTGGTTTGTGTTCTTGTTTTTCTATCTGCAATAATAAAGCTCTGATGAAAATGGAACGACATGTGGTCCAATGATGTGTATTACATATATATGAAGGCGCCTTCACATGCTGTGAGTGGCCGTCAGTAATATCAACTTTAAACAGCCTCTGTCATCATCTGGTACATCATGCAGGACGTTAGTGGCTCGCCTTCCTCACGATCATCTTCCAGAGACGACACGAGCTCTGCTTGAGCAAAAGTGTGCGCTAAAGTTCCACGTCATATCCACTCAAAACAGAAGAGGCACAGACTGCATGGCCTCACTACTATGAAGTAGTGTCACTAAATATTTTTCAAAAAGTTCATAACATGCTAAGCTAATAGCTGCAAAAGGCCAAAGTCAGACCTTGTAAAATGCTGAGTTAAGTGATGATGTACAGTTATGTGTTTTCATACTTCAGAAGGTGTAAAAATATTCTTCATGTTTGAAAGTCTGCTGAAAGCCTCCTGCTTCAGCATGTGATGGAGGATGTTCATGTAAGAAAGCCACACATGCATGAAGTCCGTTACAGTAAACACTGAGACAGAAATGTTCACCTCATCAGTGAGCATGCGCGACTTTTGAACTTGCCATCTGAACAGTTAGGTCGTCAGTATTTTCAGGTCCAGATTGCGATGAGAGAAAGTCACACGTATGAAGAACTCTAAACGGAAACTAACTGAGGTCAAACTTTAAAACAAGCCTGACGGGCTTTTCTCGTAGAGCTCGCAAATCACGCCTTTAAGCGCGTTCGTGCCAAGGGTTTATTTCAGACGTGATTTTGCCACGTTTGAAAAGGATGTTCATCTGAGGGCACAGGAGCGCGCAGAGGTGGGAGGCTTACTGAGGGGACCGTGCTCGCTCACGCGTGCTCTGACTCGAGCGGCTCTCGGCTGTGTCACCGCGCTGCCTCTGCCTGCCTAAACGGTATAATTAGCCGGTTCCGATCAGTCGTCCCTGGGCCATTTCACAGAGTTCGTCTGCCCGTGCTTCCGTTCTCTCCGCCGATATCAGCAGCGGCTATGTGTGAGTAAAAAGCCAGCCAGGCTCCCCGCAGCAGCAAGAGGTGTCTCCAGACATGGACCGGATAGGAGTGTCATTCCTGGACCCGCTGGATGACTACGAGCTCATCCACAGGATTGGGTGCGGCACCTACGGAGATGTTTTCAAGGTGAGTGAGAACCTGTCCCCGTGTTTGCACCGCGCTGACAGAGAGAAAGCCTCCATCAGGGCGCTGGGGATGTCACTTCCTGTCATCAAGGTGAAACTTCGTTTTTTTGGACATGTACAGAGCCTGATGTGACACAGCAGTCCCTACCGAGGCACAGAATCAGAAAAAGTCCGAGTTGCATTTTGTTTACTGACACATGATCAGTGTGTCAGACTGTGCGCCTCCAACAAAGCTGTAGTGCAGGTTTCCTGCAGAGCGCTGCGGTACTAGCGTGCTGCGTGCGCGGGGCCACAGGTTCGTAATGTTTTCATGGAGGTGCGCGGAGAAATCTCCTGTTTTCACTGCTGTCACTGAAGAAGTGGCAGAATCAACACATTATCGACGAAACAAGCGAGTAAGAAAGACTGATGTTGTCAGATGTGCAACAAATGCGTTCCTCGTAGTGTCATATCTGCCGTTTCACATAGGTGGCAGGATTCTGAAGTGAACCGTGTCATCTAATCGAAATATTAACCCCTGACTGGAACCGTGCAGTTAACACACCCTGGTGGCTTGTGCATCCAGTTTGTATTTGACAGCACGGACAGCAACCCTGTTGCCTTTATGGAAAAACAAACACGTTTATTTTAGCAGCTTGCGGCCGTGAGTCTAATGTTCAACGAATAAAAGACTGAAGTGTGTCTTAAACTGCCAGGCATCCACCCTCAGCTCTAAGTCAGGTTATCTTAAATATAGCAGGGGTGTGTCAAACTGCATGTAGCACTTTCTTGTTCTTCCAAGTTAAACTTTTAAGGATCACAGCAACCAAATAAGCAATAATTAACCTTTTACTTCTATGACAATGTTGTGGTGAACTGTATGAAACAAAAACGTTTCAAAGAAACATCTCGGTTTTTAGGTGAGATTTAAATTTTTAGATACATAGTATCCAATAATGCTTTTATATAATTTATATATATTGTTTTAATAACTTTCAGCAATGCCTTTCACAAACTAGCTGGTCTGCTTGGTCAGAATGCATGAGCCGGACAAAGAGGACTAAACAGCAATGACAGAGCAGAGTTTCAGTACTAGCGCTGATGTCCTAGTAAAACTTCACTGTTGTTTAACACAAAACACAATCAAGCGAGATGCCCCCCCCCAAAAAAAAATCAATAGAAAAGGCCATTAACTGACAGAAACAGGATGTTGACTCTTTTTGTTCTTTAAAAATGGGTCACAGTGAACAACTTTCCACAGTGAAACCTCAGAAATCTCATCAAAGACTAAATCACTGTAACTCTTTATGAAACCGTCCTCAAATAAGAGAAAATGCAGTTTGCTGAAGACTCTCTCAATCCACAATTTATCGTTTACAGCTGTCTTTCCCACGACATCTGAAATATGGCAACAGGCGTGCTGTGTTTTTGCTTTGTTTTCAGTGGTTTACACACGGCAGGCCTGACAGCCTGTGTACACGACACTGTGGGCTGAATGTTGAACGAGTACAGCAGCAGTGTTGTGTCCTGCCTGCCAACAGCACCAGCATGGCTGAAATGTTCACACTGGGAGTGTTATGTTATCTTCAGGTGCAGCTGAGGAAGTTCTGAAGTTTAATTCTGTGTAACGTCTTTGTTTTTCCCTAATGAGCATTTATAAAAACTGTTTTACAGCAGTTTCATTGTTCTGTAAGCATTAAGACTGAAGGAATGGGTTTTATATGTGCAGCTTGTTCAGCTGTACCTTTACTAACACCACTGAAGGAAGAACAAACTGTGCGTCACCTTGTCACGGGAATGTCCGAGTATTAACTTGGTGATTTAAAACATTGACAAATGTTTTACACTCCTGGAAACACAGACCAGGGATACCTGTTCAGTCACTATTATTTGAAGTTGAAGTAGTTTCCATGCCTCCCTCAGCAGGCTGTGGGACAGTGGATCCAGTTTAAAGTTTCAGAGCTCTAATGTGCAGCCATCACCTCAGAAGCAATCAGCAGCAGAGAGAGTGCATACAGTGATGAATTGAATGTTTGTGTGCAAACCAGCAAATTAACAGAAGGATTTTCTCTCATCCTTTTTTACCCCTCAGATTTAAAAGGCTGATGGTTAGGTAGAACAGCTTAGACACCCAAGTTTGTGAATGTGATAACTCAAGAACAAGGTGACGTTAGATTTTGAAATTGATGTCATAGGTGTGTCTACTTGGAGGCTGAGGGGAACCACTTGTGGTTAATGACAATTGAATACGTTGTTTGGAGTAGGTGGCTCTCAAAGGGACAGTTTTCCATTAAAAAAGAGACATAGGATCTGTGAATCCACCCCCTCTGTGACTGTCAGACGCCGACTTTAATGTGAACGCGTAGAGGAAATCCTGGGTTAACTGGAGTTGATGACCAGCTTCGTGTTTGCTAATGCTAGGATAAGTGAATCCAGATGATGAAACGAAACTCTGCATATGTTAAACAAGCTTTGTAGTAAAGGGCCCTGGTTACTGAAGAGGCTGCCTTTCTGTTTGCCATTTATTTTAGAGAATCATAATTAACTTTAAAGAGAAAAGATTCAACTCGGGATGTTAAGTAAAACAACCAAAGCCTAATTTCTACAGATACTAAAAGCAGAGATGAATCAGCTTGTAGTAGGAGTGAAGAACTTTGCTTCCTACTCTTGTAACAACCGTGTAGACCCAAAAGCAGAGCCAACAGAGACACGTATCAAAGTATTACAGTCTTTATTTACTGTACATATGAAAACATTGAGGTAAGTACTGAGGGGCCATGGGAATAGCACAGGGGCTTCCTCCGGGTCTGGGGGAAGAAGGAGACTTTCCAAAAAGGAAGGGACAGTGTGCTGGTTGAGTTCAGGTAAGCGTTGCCGTAGGTGGGTGAGCAGGCAGATGGAAGAGTAGTGCAGAGTGATCCAGGTGGGTACTGTGAATGAACCAACTTTCTCATCTGATGGAAGATAACGGAAACGAAAAGCTATTCAGCTGATGGGAGGAACATGGGAACAGACAGAGGCACGTGAGAATAGGAATGCTAGGAAACTGCTAAGGAACAAGGTGTTTGCCACTTGTTGGAGGCAGACTATCTGGCAGAGTATGGATGGCAAAGCTGGTCCTTTTATACTGAAGTTGAGGAAACGGATGACAGGCAGGTGTGTGCAGCTGAAGAGCGGGAAACCCAAACTCCACCCAAAGAAAAGGAGCGTGCCTTCGGGATGATTGCTTGGAGGAATAAGAGGAAGTCCAAACAACCAGAGCCCGACTATGACACTACAGCAGCATGAATCTCCCAGATGTTTCTGTTTGTTATGAAGAATGGTTGAATAGTCCCCCATTCATATTTAGAAGTATTGTTTGCTTGAAATTGCCATCCCCAAGTGTGTGTGTGTCTTCCTTATTGGGATAGGCATAGGTGCCGATTGTGAGATAGCACAGCCTCAGTGTTAGTGATACAGCGATGTTCACTAGCGTGCACAACAAGCTCACAAGTGTCTGAGAGCATGGCATTTTGTCAGCCACCTATGGCAATAACTGCTAATTAAATGCAGAGGTGTGTATAAACACATTGTGAGTGAAAAGTGATGAATATAATAGCAACACTATGCAGTGCATCATGGGAAGCCCCCAGCAGGCTAGACCCATGGCAGTGTAACTAAGACCAGGCCCCCCTGCTATGAGCAAGCAGCTGTTTGCTCATAGAGGGGACATCTGATTGTTGGAGTTTCTTAAGTACCTTGAAGCAACTGTTGTTGTGTTTTGCTGCTATTATTACTATACAAAGGAAAAATGGGTGATTGGGTATTTTTGGATTAACTGAAGGCTTTTCAGGGAGTTTTTAGGAGAGCCTGACAATAACAGTAGTCTAGCCTGGAAGTAAGGGATGCATCAACTAGTTTTTCAGCATCAATCTGAGACAGGATATTTCTAATTTTAGAGATACTGTGCAAATGGCAGGAAGCAGTCCTACATATTTGTTTTATATGCACATTGAAAGACGTGTTGTGTTCAAAAATGTCTCCTAGAATGTCCTGAGGTAGTGCCATCCACACTAAGCATCTGAATTACCATATTTCTAAGACTTTTAGGGCCAAGTCCAATAACTTCAGCTTTATCTGAATTAAGAAGCAGGAAGTTAGAGCTGATCCAGGTCTTTGTGTCTATAAGATATTTATGCAGTTTAACTAATTGGTGTTTGTTACCTAGCTTGATAGATTGATAGAAGGTAGGTATCCTCTGCATAGCAGTGAAAATGTATGCTATGTCTTCTAATGATGCTGCCTAAGAGAAGCATGTATAGTGTAAACAGAATTGGTCCTAGCACTGAACCCTGTGGAACTCCATAATTAACCTCTAGTTGTTTATGGAGTCTCCATTTATATAAACAATTAGATATATATGATACAAACCAGCTACGGCATGCAGTAAGTTAAATATTATGGTCGCATGCACTGAGGTGTAGCAGGACAAGCACAGAGACGAGTCCACTGTCAGAGGCCATAAGAAGATCAGTTGTAACTTTCACTATTCTGAATCCCGACTGAAACTGAAATTTAAATAAACTTCTGCAAATGATTAGTTAACCTTTTGGCAGCTACTCTTTCAAGAAGTTTTGGTGTAATGTCTTTCAGCAGTCTTGTAGGAATAGGGTCTAAAGGACCCGTTGATGGTTCAGGGGAATAAATAATTGAAGTAAACAGAAGATTGATAGGAAATGTCACCAGGTGTTAAAGCTGTTATACTGAATGTTTCATCTATGGCATGGCTTTGAATAATTTTTTCTCTAATGATTAAAATTTTATTTGTGAAGACGTTCATGAAGTCATTACAGAGCTCTGACTGTCAGCCTGGCTACAGTGCTGAAGAGAAACCTGGGGTTGTTCTTATTGTCTTTAATCAGCGATGAGCAGTAAGACGTAGGGTTTTTTCTTAAAGCAGCAAACTATTCTTCCATGTTCACTGATAATGATGCCAGCTTATGAGTTACCTGCTTTAAGGTGCACGTGTGAGAGTTATAACAG